TGTGCTATTTGCATTTGGAATCTGCTGCTGTCAACTCTCAAGATGAGATCCAAAGAGCTGTCACTATCAGTGAAGCAAGCCATCATTAGGCTGAAAAAACAAAACAAACCCATCAGAGAGATAGCAAAAACATTAGGCGTGGCCAAAACAACTGTTTGGAACATTCTTAAAAAGAAGGAACGCACCGGTGAGCTCAGCAACACCAAAAGACCTGGAAGACCACGGAAAACAACTGTGGTGGATGACCGAAGAATTCTTTCCCTGGTGAAGAAAATAGCCTTCACAACAGTTGGCCAGATCAAGAACACTCTCCAGGAGGTAGGTGTATGTGTGTCAAAGTCAACAATCAAGAGAAGACTTCACCAGAGTGAATACAGAGGGTTCACCACAAGATGTAAACCATTGGTGAGCCTACAAAAACAGGAAGGCCAGATTAGAGTTTGCCAAACGACATCTAAAAAAGCCTTCACAGTTCTGGAACAACATTCTATGGACAGATGAGACCGAGATCAACTTGTACCAGAGTGATGGGAAGAGAAGAGTATGGAGAAGGAAAGGAACTGCTCATGATCCTAAGCATACCACCTCATCAGTGAAGCATGGTGGTGGTAGTGTCATGGCGTGGGCATGTATGGCTGCCAATGGAACTGGTTCTCTTGTATTTATTGATGATGTGACTGCTGACAAAAGCAGCAGGATGAATTCTGAAGTGTTTCGGGGCAATATTATCTGCTCATATTCAGCCAAATGCTTCAGAACTCATTGGACGCCGCTTCACAGTGCAGATGGATAATGACCCAAAGCATACTGCAAAAGCAACCAAAGAGTTTTTTAAGGGAAAGAAGTGGAATGTTATGCAATGGCCAAGTCAATCACCTGACCTGAATCTGATTGAGCATGCATTTCACTTGCTGAAGACAAAACTGAAGGGAAAATGCCCCAAGAACAAGCAGGAACTGAAGACAGTTGCAGTAGAGGCTTGGCAGAGCATCACCAGGGATGAAACCCAGCGTCTGGTGATGTCTATGCATTCCAGACTTCAGGCTGTAATTGACTGCAAAGGATTTGCAACCAAGTATTAAAAAGTGAAAGTTTGATTTATGATTATTATACTGTCCCATTACTTTTGGTCCCTTAACAAGTGGGAGGCACATATGCAAACTGTTGTAATTCCTACACCGTTCACCTGATTTGGATGTAAATACCCTCAAATTAAAGATGACAGTCTGCAGTTAAAGCACATCTTGTTCATTTCATTTCAAATCCATTGTGGTGGTGTATAGAGCCAAAATGTTAGAATTGTGTTGATGTCCCAATATTTATGGACCTGACTGTATGTGTACTGTTATGATTGCTGCATTAAAGTCCCATAGGGGGGTTTTCCATGTGTCTTGTTTACATACAGACCTCTCCCCCGCCGCCAGTGATACTCGGCGATCGCCGGGTGGTGGTGGGGAATCACTGGCCGGGACCCGGTGATTGACAGCTGAAGCTGCCAATGGTACTTGGAAATGCAAAATCACGTATATATACATGTGAATTTGCGCAGCCCTGCCGCCCTGTAGCAGTATTTTTGCTATAGGGCGGCAGGGAAGGCAGTTAACATATGGGCGGCCCGTGGCTAAATGGTTAGCACTTCCGCCTGGCAGTACTAGGGTCGTTGGTTCAAATCCCAACCATGGCACCACCTGCCTGGAGATTGCATGTTCTCCCTGTGCCTGCGTGGGTTTCATCTCCGGTTTCCTCCCAACACTCCAAAGGCATGCTGGGAGGTTAATTTAATACATCAGTGGTTCATATAGCTCGGTGTAGAGCTATTCACCCTGAGGTCATCACAGAGGATCAGGGGGCGCTCTTTACGTCTGGAGGAAAAGAAATGTAATCTCCAAACATGGAAAGGTTTCTTCAGAGTAAGAGTTGTGAAAATGTGGAATAGACTCCCTCAAAAATTGGTACTGGCCAGCTACGTTGATTGCTGTAGGAAAGTCCTGGATTCTTTCTTGGATACACAGAATATAACTTGATACTAACATTTATAGGTAAAGTTGATCCAGGGAATATCTGATTGCCTCTCGGGGGATCAGGAAGGAATTTTTTTCCCCAGCAGGAGCAAATTGGATCATGCTTTGCTGGGTTTTTTTGCCTTCCTCTGGATCAACTGTGGGTATAGGATTATAACTTTTTTTTTTTTAATGGTTGAACTGCATGGACTTTTGTCTTTTTTCAGCCAGACTAACTATGTAACTATGTAATTGGCTCCTGTCTAAGTTGGCCCTAATATCTGTATGTGAGTTAGGGACTTTAATTTGTACGCTCCTTGAGGGTTAGGGACTGATGTGAATGTATAATATAAATGTAAAGTGCTGCCTAAACTGACGGCTCTATATAAGTACCTGAAATAATAATAATACCAACATACTGAGGATGTTTTGTTCCCTTTGTATGATGGTATCAAATTGTTTCTCTCTTGATTATAGAATTATATCGCTTTCAAGTTATGTGATGGCTTGATTGCACCGAACCTGAAGAAGACCCAAAGCTCCTTCACAGATCAACCCCCTCCCCTAACACCCGAGAGAAACAATGACAAGAAAATTGAAGAAGTCACCCAGAAGATCGTTGAGCTGCTGACGGGAGAGGTGAGCGGTGCCGGGAATTCTGGGACATTCTTCAGTAACAGACAAGGGATGTGTCTGGATGGTGACTGTATCATTGTGTGTGTCAGGTTCCTATAAGGTGTCAGGATGTCAATGAAGAACGCAAGGATATGTACAAGGATGTCAAGATGGAGAAACGACTGTCCCTCACATCACCGGGTAAGAGGAGACTTTCATTTCTTGTATTGAGGATCCACCTAGATACACACATCCTCTGATAAAAAGAAATAGAAACAATGGATTCAGTCAGTGTGTGTGTGTTTCCTACAGATGGATCCAGTAATGGGAACCCACCAGAGAGATGTCCCAGCCCTCTGTATTCCCGGGACTCCACACAGGAACATCAGGTGATCCCTCAGGAGGATCAGGTAGATGGATCCAGTATTGGGAACCCACCAGAGATATATCCCCATCCTCTGTATTCCCGGGACTCCACACAGGAACATCAAAACTGTCAGGTAGATGTAACTATTATTTTTTAAATTTAAAAAAAATCTGAATTGATCAGAAACGGATAAATGGTGTCAATGTTTTCATCTAGGCAAACAGTGTTGTTGTAATTAAAGTTGAAAATGAAGAAGATCCATATGAGGGGGATGATGATCCATGTAAGGAGGAGGAGATCCCTCCAGAGATCAGCACAGGTGAGGAGTAAACACTAAATCCAGAGAAGAGTCCCAGATCCTCCTTGTTCAGTCACTACAACAATCTCTTCTTCTTCCCCTCCTCTGTCAGTAGACAGTAATGGGGGGACAGTATGGGCCCAGTGGGGGGGTCAGGTGCCATCAGCCTCTATTAGAATCCGGCTCTGCTCCTCACATCATGTCATTGAAACGTGACCAGTCTCCCCCCACACACACTCTCTGGGGTCTCTCATACAGGGGGCTTCACAGACCCCGGAGACACCAGAGACACCAAAGCTGAGGAGGAAGAAGAACATGTGAGCAAACAGCCAGCCATGGATGGTTTGAATCTTAGCTGGTTCTGCAGGGACCGGCCGAGAATCCATCCATGTATGAGCAGGCTGATGGTACTCAAGTCGACTGATGGATCGTCTTGGGTACAACCAGTATGTTGGATTTCTTGCATGTGATTATTCTCAGTGGCTATAACAGCTAGCGATAATCACTGTGTTCTCCCGGCAGGGACGGCTTGGCCCCCCCCCCCTCCCATTAACACTGACTATGCTGATGGGACAATCAAGTGATTTTCTTTCCTCCAACCACGGGAAAATCACAGCATCTATGGCCTCCCCTAAGAGTCTAAGAAATTCTTTCAGAGCTCAGAACTAGTGTGCTTTAATGTCTATCTGTGACCCCATTAGGGAGATCTAGCTTCACTTCCTGTTCCTTTTCACATCAGGGCAGGAAATTGGGTGAGCTCTTGTCACAGGACATGAAGACATAGACAGTAAAATGAACCTGCCGTTGTTTTCTTTGTCGTTTTACTAAAAAAATGGGTTGTTGCAGTCTGCATCACCAGAGGAGATATTTCCCATCAGGCATCATCCTGTCTGGAAAGGAAGTGAGAGAATACCTCCCAAGTGGAGACATGGACTGCAATAAAAACATGACATGAATTCTAATGCTTTCACACTCTTTTCAAAACTTGTAAAAACATTTCACTTGATATTTAGAGATATGCTTGATATTATACATATAATATGAACAAAGCACATCCCACTATACTGTGTGCTTGTCTTAGACCAGAGTGTCATTTCTGTCTGCTGCCTCCTTCATCTGCTATCAGCATGAGTCACTTCTGACAAGTTTTCCTGACACCAAGAGAAAAAAGGTGACAGGAGAGGGACCTCCACCAGAGTGACAGCCTCAGCTCTGTTCCTGTGAACTGTGTGGAGGGATGGGTCTCTTCCCTCCAATCAGCTCCCAGAGCTCTCCTCATTGAGCTCTGTGGTAATTTCAGCTCTCTGCCCCCTTTTTTTTCCAAACTCCCAGACAAGCTTTATAAATTCAGCACTTTGAACGATGTAGAAAAGATAAGACTGTAGATAAACAGTTACAACTTATGGAGGAGGATTTGTTTTATCTCTGTGTATGAGGCCAGTCACTTCACTGGGGATATGTAAGGGTTTACAATCACTTAAAATATTATATTTTGTTCCTTTTTCCTCTAGATGTGCTTTACAGACAGTACAGCGTGGAGAAATGTTCCGGAACCTCTCCAGATAAGGAAGAAGATGACGATTTCTCTGCAGACTCCCCAGACGATCCTATCACCACAGATCCCCATCCGTCACCTCACAGTGCAGATCCCTTAGATCCCTCCACTCAAGAAGAGAGCCCTAGTGATCCCTCCCCTCATGTAACATTTCACACAGCCCATGGGATGTCGGAGACGTTCCCGTGCTCCAACTGCGGCATGTGCTTCACTCAGATAATGGCGCTCCTCGCACACAAGCGGACTCACATGGGAGAGGCGCTGCATCCTTGTCCTGAATGTGGTAAACAGTTCGCTCTGAAGAACGACCTCGTTAACCACCTTGCGAATCACGCCACCGATCAGCCGTACTCTTGCTCTTACTGCAGAAAACACTTCCTGAGTAAATCCCGCCTGGGCCGTCATGAAATTATTCACACGGGGCACAAGCCGCATTCCTGCTCCATGTGCGGGAAACGCTTCACGCAGAAGGCCAACCTGGCCCGCCACGAAAGGACTCACACAGGGAAAAGCCTTTCACCTGTCTTGAGTGCGGAAAATGTTTCACAAGGAAAGCCACTTTGATCGAACACCAGTATCTGCATAGGTGAATACGCACCGTGGCTGGGACAGTGATGGGTATCTACATAGTTACATAGCTAGTCTGGCTGAAAAAAGACAAAAGTCCATCCAGTTCAACCATTAAAAAAAAAAAAGTTATAATCCTACACCCACAGTTGATCCAGAGGAAGGCAAAAAAAAACCCAGCAAAGCATGATCCAGTGTGCTCCTGCAGGGGAAAAAAATTCCTTCCTGATCCCCCAAGAGGCAATCGGATATTCCCTGGATCAACTTTACTACATACGTGCCTGTGGCATGGCAGTGGCAAAGTGCTTTGTTATTGTATAACGTTTTGAAGTGATTTTGTTGAATCGGTCAAATCCCTGATGGACATGTCAGCGTTGGTTGAGGGTGCCATCGTGGATAATCCTGTGAAAGTAAAGAAGAACTGTTTATGAGTCCACCTGGTGTTTATGTCTTGAGGGAATAGAGGACAATTACCTTCAGGGCTGATCATATTGGAGTAGGATCTCCAGCAAGGTTGTTGAGACACCCTCAGTTGGGTCCAAAGGGCCTGCGAGGAGGTGAACCAGTGTCGGGATTGTGGTTGGAACACCTCACCAACCTGACCACCAAGGTCTATCTAGAGGTGGTGGATGACCTAATTTCCTGGAACCTTTCCAGAACTGAAACTCTAGCTTTGATTTGGCTGAGAAGTTATTGTGAATCTGTTTGGGCATTTTTAAATAACAGCTAGTGCCAAAAAACTTCTGTAAAAATGGTTTAATCTTCTGTAACGGAACCGGACCCCGACTGCACTAGGGTATTTCCATTAGACTCCCACTTGCCTGTCCGAACACAGATCCATGGACACCACTGCTGACCAAACAGGAAATAGACTGCTTTATTTTAACACAGATACAAGATATATACACAGGGCGGGGCAATACATTTAGTAACAGGAGACACACAGCAGACACCCCTCACCAAGCCTATACATAAACACATACATCCAATAATAGTTTGCTCCCAAACAAGACACACAATAGACCAATGGGATAACCACATGGCATTAAACAATGAACAACCCCCACACCCCACCTATACATGTCTACACAATATCAGGACATTCTACCCTGTACCCCTAACAGGCACAGGGTGACTTACACATAATGGGGATATGGGGAGCTGAGACAGGGGTCTCCCCACCTCTCCAAAGGGGGCTGTGTTCCATGGGCCCCCCACCCAAAGTCACTCCCGTCACATCTTCCTACTAAGGGCTTGATTTACCTGACCAATGGGAGCACCCTTTTGACCACTTAAGCATTCCTAATAAACAGGAGGGGGGCAGATGGGCAGGAATTAAGCCTCCTTAGTATCAACGTAAAACCAAGCACAGAGCATTTCCTGGCTAACAAAGGGCTTTTGCTTTTTAAAAAATAAAATGGTCAACTGAATCACAATCAAAGTGGTTCTAAAGGGTCAAGGTTTTTTTTTTTTTTTTACCTTCATGCATTCTATGCATGAAGGTAAAAAAAACCTGTTCAGCATCCCCCCCCCCCCCCATGCCCCCTAATACTCACCTAAGCTCCTTCTCGATTCAGCGATGTGCACTGGAGTCTCGGCTATCCCATCATTGGCTGTGACATTAGCTCCCACTGCTGTCAATCACAGCCAGTGAGCCAATGAGAATAGGGGGGGAGGGGCCGAGCCACAGCTCCATGAAGCAGCGGGTGCCCCCATAGCAAGCTGCTTGCTGTGGGGACACCTGACAGGAGGGAGGGGCCAGGAGAGCCTGCAAGGGACCTGAGAAGAGGAGGATCTGGGCTGCTATGTGCAAAACCACTGCATACAGCAGGTAAATATAGAAAAGTTTGTTATTTTTTGTTAAAAAATAATAAACCTTTAGAATCGCTTTAAGAGAACCTGTCTTGGTCTTCAATTAAAAAATGCCCGAATGTACGCACCTTATGGTGCCTCCAAGTACCTATGTTGGTTTCATGTCTGTCCCTGTGAAGGCTCCTTGCATCTTAAACCCAAGCTGTTTATAGGGCCTCGAGTTTTGCCTGAGCCAAGATGAAGCCTTACCCGTTCCTGGCACTAAGCCCCATCACTTTTATTCAGCGTTTAAATGCCAGAGGCTTGACAGCTGGGTTTGGACTTAGTAGGAGAGTAGGGCTTGATCTTGACTTCAGCATAAATCAAGACCGTCTGTACATCCTGGGTGTAAGCCACGGCCTTATTTACACTCTGGACATAAGTCAAGGCCCCCATATACAACCTGCATGTAAGTCAAGGCCCCATTTACAGCCTGCATGTATGTTATGGCCCCCTGTACAACCTGGATGTAGGTCAAGGCCCTATGTACAACCAAGGTGTAGGTCAAGGTCCCATGTACAGCATGGGTTTAGGTCAAGTCCCCATGTACAGCTTGGGTGTAGATCAAGGCCCCATGTACAGCCTCGGTGTAGGTCAAGGCCCCATGTACAGTCCGGGAGTAGGTCGAGGCCCCATGTACAGCCTGGGTGTAGGTCGAGGCCCCATGTACAGCCCGGGTGTAGGTCGAGGCCCCATGTACAGCCCGGGTGTAGGTCGAGGCCCCATGTACAGCCAAGGTGTAGGTCGAGGTCCCATGTACATCCTGGGTTTAGGTCGAGGTCCCATGTACAGCCTGGGTTTAGGTCGAGGCCCCATGTACAGCCCGGGTTTAGGTCGAGGTCCCATGTACAGCCTGGGTTTAGGTCGAGGCCCCATGTACAGCCCGGGTGTAGGTCAAGGCCCCATGTACAGCCCGGGTGTAGGTCAAGGCCCCATGTACAGCCTGGGTGTAGGTCAAGGCCCCATGTACAGCCTGGGTGTAGGTCAAGGCCCCATGTACAGCCTGGGTGTAAGTCTTTGCCTAGTGTACATCCATGACGTAAGTTAAGGCCCCATATACAGCTTAGGAGGGGTACTCTACAGAGGTTGATTGAATGACTGACACCACAAGGTATCTGCATGTCAGATTATTTCCTTGGTTTATTGAAAACAATTGTTCATACAAATTATACTTATCAAGCCAATACAGTGGCAAAGTACTATGCAGCAAATAGTGTATACAAAGGGAATTGTTACAGCGCTGTTCTTTACTTTAGATACATTTTAGGCTAAGCCGGGTTCACCTTGAAGTGAAACTTCATGCTATATATTTTTTTTTTGTAGTTTGGGTGGTGTGAAAAGTTCTGAACCCCTGTCTAGTTTTTTTTGCTGTCTGTGTCCCTATTAAAGAAGACTTCTTTTTCTAGGTGACCATTACTACCATTGGAAAAGAAAGCTAAGGTAGTTCCAACATTTTGGTTGTCACCAAAGCAGGAGCAGAGGGGAAACCTTCCAGTTGTGGTGACAACTATGAAAGATGGGATTTCCCCTCATATTAGGGAACTTACACTCAATTCCTATGTATTAGAGACAGGAAATAAAGACAGCAATATACACCTGGCAGAGGTGTTCACCCTTTCCCACTTCAAATCTGTCCAATGGATAATTGCAATAATGACCCAACCAAAGTATCCTACCACCAATAGTAGGGAAAAATGCCTTGGGTATAGCCAGCATAATGGCGGGATATTACCAGGTCCTCCAAAGTCTTGCTTAGATTGATGAGTGTTTCTAAATCTGTTGAGATGTGGTATAAATGATAGATAATAGAAATCTTCAATCCCTCTTCTCTGGTGAGCTTTTGCCTATGGTAGAACTTTTAAAGACGATTGGTAATGCTGTTGGTAATTCTCTACATGGCCTTGCTTTGATCCCAATACTTGTTTCTTTAGGCCTTTTAGAGTCAGGTATCACAGACAGGGGTCGACCGTGAGACTGACCAGGAGACTAGAGGAGGGCATGTGGTGTCATGGGGCGACACAGAATGCTTAGGGTGCACTGGAGTCACAGGGCTCATGGGGTGACACAGGATGCTCAATCTGGTTGGGGTTACAGATGGAGACAAGATGCTCAAGGTTTTCTGGAAACACGGTGTGAACCTGCATGCTCTGGAATCACAGCGGTCAAGGGGTGACTAAGGCCCAGCCATACATGGGTCGAAATTTGACCGATTTTTCTTCCGAAAATCGGACCTAAGAATAATCGGCCGATTTTCGCTCTGTTAGTGGGTCAATAGCACTGGCCAATTTTCACTTTTCGGTGATTGGGCATGTTGGAAAATTTGTGAAAAACGACCGGTTTTCGACTCGATGGTCAAATCGTACGATCATTTTTCCCAAAAGAATATGCACATGAGCTGTGACCTGGAAGGAACAGAAGTTTCACCTGTTATATGGGGTGAACTTTTTTGACTTGGCGATTTTCTAAATCATTGATGGTACCATTGGATTAACGAGCAAGTGACGTTTTCAATTTTCGGATGAAAAATTGTTCGGAATTCGAACCATGTATGGCCTGCATAAAGGTGCACTGGAGCAACAGAATGGCTAAGGATGCTCAGGGAGCTCTGGAGTGACAGGGGACACAGGAGCACACAGAGCTCAATAGAGACACAGGAGATGCTGCAGCAAGGAGCTTGGCTTTGGAGTAGCTTGAATGCTGAGCTAAGCATTGCTTGTGCTCTCAACCAAACTGTCAAAGCATCAAATGTCTGGTGCCATAACTGATCACATGTGCAGCACCATGGCAAGTGCAAATCAAACCAAGATGGCTGCTTCCTTGTTTGAAAAGGATAGAAGGGTTTAGTTCTGCTTTATAGGCTGTGCCACTCAGAAGGGCTGTCTCCTTATTGGCTGTGGTGCTGACACAGTAGGTCAGCCTTTTCAACACAGAGGAACCCTTGAAATAACCTTCTGGTTTCAGGGAACCCCTACTAAAAATGACTGTATCTACAACTCATGATACATCAGTGTGATGGTCAGTGGGAAGAATGCTCCTCACACTTGTGGTCAGTGGGAAGAATGCTCCTCACACTTGTGGTCATTGGGAAGAACACTCCTCACACTTGTGGTCATTGGGAAGAATGCTCCTCACACTCGTGGCCATTG